ATCGGGTCGAGTCGAATCTCGGGTTCTGTAATTATTAACGGGTTCGAGTTCGAATATGCTTCAAACCCGACCCGACCTGACCCTTACGGAGCACTAGTTAAGATTATACTTTATTAATGGTACGATAGAAACTTGTTAGTTTGTCAAGGCGACAATACAGGATATTTATATATAATACAATTATAAGAAATGAGATAATAAACATAATAAAGAAAATAAATATAATTATGAAAGTAAATATAATAATGATAAACGTAATAATAAATATAATAAATATCACAACGATAATTATGATAATAACAGTGAAATTGGTGAAAATGATCACGATTTTTTTGGTTATCATTGGTGAAATTAGTTGGCGCAGTCATTTAGTGACGCAAACGGATTATCACTAACAACACTGTAACATCTCTTTTTCATTTAACATATATTTTTGTAATGTGTTGGCACTTTTTCTCTGCCGGTCAAATCTTTTTAGATCAACATAAGGAAATACACCAAAAACCTTTTGACATTTGATTTACTTGCAGCTTTTAATTCTTTTCGATAATCCAAAGTCTGCTAGTTTAATAACACCTTGATGAATTAATATATTGCTGGAATGCTAATATAGAGGTATAAAATTAAATATTAATTATTAAAGTAATATTAAGAATCAAAATATATATCTTATGTAAGATTACCAAATCACGATGCACAATTCTTTCTCCATGTAAACATGACACTGCACTAGCCAACTGGTAATTATCATCCCAGGTAAGCTAATCAAAATTATCCTTTAAATAATTTCTAAGTCATTACTAACAAATACTTTTTCAATTGGTCATTTTTTTAAAAAAATATAATGATATAAAAATAAAAAAATAACAATAATAATCTTTATCATGAACATTAAATACTTTGTTTTGAAGTTATCCCACGAAAATGAATAATAAATTCTGCATAATCCTAATATACTATGTAATAATATGTGTTTATAATTCTGGCAAAAATTATTTTTAAATTTTAAATTTTAGGTAAAATTATAATTCGTAAAATAAAAATCTATTTATATATTTTTGTTATAATGTAACAATTTCCCACGTACAATATATATCGCAAATTTTAAACTAATAAACATTTTAATCTTTTCTTCAACACAGGAACATAGTGAAGCACGCACTAAATTTTTGTTTAATAAGAACTACTGACAATTAAGAAGGTGAAACACAGTGACAATGCCGACAATTATCGAAAGGTAATCTAGGACTATGCTCCCTTCCTTTTTTTTTTTATAATTTCTTTTTTCTTTTTTTTTAAAAAAAAAATTAAAAATATATATATATAAATGGCCTTAGTTAAAGTGATACATCTGCTGGTCAGTGAATTCACTCCCTGAACTTAAGGACCAAAATATAGAAAGAAGTATCCTCTCGTTTCGTACTATTGGCAAAGCAGGTAGAAAATATGAGTTCGCTTGTCCTATGTCGAAGTGCTTCTGCTAGTTTACTTTAGATAGTTTCTCTTTTGTTTCTACTTCTATATTTATTTCCATACTTCTATTTTAATGTATCTAATGATATTAGGTACAACTAACGAAAGGCTTAGGCTCTTTTAGGACTATTCCCTTGTTAATAATTTAAAAGGTAAACGCAGCGACAATACTGATACTCATCTGCTGGTCGGTGAATTCCACTTCCTGAACTTAAGGACAAAAATATAAAAAGAAATATCCTCTCGTTTCATATTATTAGCAAAGTAAGCAGAAAATATGGATTCACTTGCCCTATGTCCAATTTGCGTCAAAGTGCCAATAAAAATTAATGTTTTAAGTCGCTCGCTTTTCTTTTTAATTTTTAATTTTTCATGGAGATCATTGGTGATCCTAATTGGCGCAGTCATTTAGTAATTATCACTAACTTCGTCTAACTCTGCCATATAATGGCTTGTTATAAAATACTTATTCTGCAAGCCTCTCGACCCTTCCTATTTATTTAATATGTACCATGGACAGACTTGTTAAGTGATTACTCCAACGATGCGATTCGGCCAAGCAATTCCTGTTTATGGCTCGAAGTGACAGTTGACATAGGTGGTTCGACTATAACATGTATGTTCCTCTTAGGCAGTTTTCGAACCGGTACTCTTCTATCACACGAATCTGCCTATAAAGTAAAATTAATGTACGAAAAATTTACCTCTTTATAGTAAATATTTTTTTCTCGTGTCTATAAATGTGAATTGTTTCTACCAAAATCAAATTAAAAATCGAACTTTAGTGACACTGTATTTGTGAAAAAAAACTAGGATGTAAATTAAACCATTCACCAACATATAGTATTGTGTTTGAGGAAAGAAGTTCATAAAACGGAATAAACCTATGTATAAAGTAAAATAATAAAAATATTTAAAAACAAAAAAAAATCGCTGCGATCAAAAAGCCAAAAATTAAAAAAAAATATTATAATATTAAAATTACCTGATTTTGATGAATATGAAGCTGAATTATATATCTAAATGACTTTTTAAATAAATAATAATTTGTTTCTTAAAAATTATTTATTTTTTTTTTTTTGTAAATAAAATTTTGGTGATGTCCGAGTTCTAAAGATAAAAAATCGATTAGAATCGATGAATTAGGATCTTTCAAATCTTTGAGAAATGATTATTAGCTATTTATCGATTCTAGTTTTTTTGAATCGAATCCAATCCTAATTGGTTGTAGACATGTAATTATATAATATTATAATAATCAAAAATGGATTTGTAAATTAAGATGTTATTTTTGAATTTATTAAGATTTTCAATGCTAAAAATCATTGTAATCGCTTCTTCAATAATTACAACTACTAGATACCTGTAAGAAATTGAACAATATAAATAATAAATATGAATGTGACATGAATTAGTGATAAGAATGCTAAAACAACTGGATTGTATGGTTGAAGTGCCAAACAGAATTAAGTGTTGTTTACAAAATAAAATATAATTATCTAGCTAAAATAAAAAACTATATCCCACAAAATATAATGCTTACCATCCACTATCAAATCCTAAAGTTGGCACATTTTTAAAAGTAAAATTATATAATGGTAAAATACCAGAAGAATAATATATTATGCAAATCGTGATTCGTTTTTATTCAAATCATTTTTTTCACGAGAGTTTCAATAATTGTACGCCATAATTGAAAATATTATATTCTAAAATTAACTTTCATTACAAATATACCATAACGAGACCGGATCACCCATTGCTCAATTACAATTAGATTTTTCACCGTTGAAGCGCTAAAGATCGTAAATTGAAAAGGAGATAACTGGTCTTCGCAAAAATATTTAGAAAATATGAAATCACAAAGCATTCTACATCTAATTGAAGTAAAGAAAATTTTTAGTATTAAGTGTTAAAAATTAACCAATGAAACAAATGAAAATAGTAACTTCTAACAATCAAAAAGCTTACAAGAAAGAAATTCTATGATCTTTATTTTGAAATAGACCTTATAGAAAACTCATACAAACGATGTCCATCATCTTCATCAGCACTTAAGCCAAATTGTTCTTGACCTGTACAAAGTGGACTCGCTGGAATTTGTTGCTCAGATTATCAAAGGATTGCAACTGGTACACCCGGAATATCCACTTTTTATAAATGAACCACAGGAGCTTTATAGTAATAAAATTATTTTCATATTCTAGTATTTACAATAAATTCATTTCTGTTAAAGTATTTAATGTTATCTTACCAAAGTCTTTCAAACGGAATAGATATCGATTATCAGCATATTTCTATTATTATGCAATAAATTTTATAAATACCCTAATTTTTTTTACTTTACTCTTTCTTATAAAATAAAAGATTTTTCTTTAAAACTTCATGATTTTTTCCATTTAGAAAATGAACTTTGAATAATTTATTTTTAGAAATTATTAAACATGGTGAGTTGTAACAATAAATTATACGTGACTCTCAATAATTTATTTTTAGAAATCAATAAATAATTAGTAGATCAGTAAACACACACATTACGCGTCTTTGATTTTAATATAATACTCTCCCACAAAAATTTTAACTTCTCAACTTTCCACCTCACAAAAATTTTAACCTCAACTTTTATCCTTTACCATGTCGGATATGCTTCCTATTTTGAACAAGACTCTTCAAAATGGTCCTTAATGGACTTTGACAGCTGATGCCTTCAAAAATGAACGATAGTCATTTTAACAAAATTCATAGAATATTTTATAAAAATATTAACGATATTTTGTTAAAATGTTCAACAACCGAAAAAGAAAGAAGTCAAGCTCGTAATAAAAAAAAGTAATTAACTTTAAAGGAAAATTAACATACCAAAGGCGAAGAAATAAGTTATTTTGCACTTTGCTAACCATATTAGTGGGGTTGAAATATGTAAAAACCTATTATAGCTCTGTTTCTTGCTAACAGCCTTAGCAAGGTTGAAATAAATAAGAGCTTGTCACGGTTTTGCACTTCACTAATAGTCTTAGCGAGTTGAAATAAGTAAAAACAAACACATTTCTAGCTGTTAATACAAAGGTCCGCTAATTCTGTTGGAGGAATTGACTACGTATATTCCTTAATAACCAAGAAGACTTCTTTTCAGATTATTTACATGTATTTAATACTAACATTATACTCTTATAGTAATAAGGAACATGTAAAGCTTGCCAATGCGTTATGGGATAATCCTGATGTTTTAAAATCAATCCACAAAATAAAATCATCAACAAACCGTAAAAAGAAATACAAACGAAGCAGATTTAGTCAGGCACTTTAATCTAATTACGAGAATTGGCTATTATAGAGCAAGAAGTTAAAATTCGAGCCTTGAAATTATTAAACATTGAAAAGAGGAGTTGGGCTTGTAAATTTTTTATTTATTAAGGCACAAAGAATCGTTTTCTCTTTCCTGTCTAGTTACTGGGAAATCTTATTTTAACAATCTATTTTATAAAATCAGTATATATACCTACCATAAAGGGCTTTTTTGTAACCAAATATTATTTTATTCTCTATCTACTTCAGCAACATAATTTTACAACATTCTCTTTAATTATTATTTTTTTGCAGAATAATTCAAACGATTTTAATGCATTAAATGAGTTTTAAAGGAAACAATCAAATAAATAATTTTATACATATAATTGTTATCATGTGAAATCGGATTATTCAATAATATGTGCGATGCGTCTTTGAATGTTTAATAGTCCGGAGCATAAAGCTTTCATTTCATTGACTTAAAAATTTAAATGAAGTTAAATTTTGTGAAACACGTTGAATAAAATAATAAATTTTAAGTACAAATAAATGGAGTATCGGACGTGGAGATCCATACCAAAAAATTGCTGAAACTGTTGGATGTGGAAAAATAACAGATTTTGATACATTCAAACGATATGATGAATTGGTTCTATGGATTCTAAGTGTCGATCTAGACGACCATATTTAATTAACAATAACTAGTGTAAAAGGCTTAAACGTTTGGTAAAAATATAATACAGTAAGTTCTCTATTTTCGCGATCATTATACACTGTTTGTATACGATCTTCACGTTTACGATCTTGTTTTCTTTGTAATGATCGTGGTGCCCCTCGCAAAATGGATTCTACATGAAGCTGCACTTGTTTTTGCTCATTTTGTAGTTCCTTTATAATTTTAAATACTCCTACATGAGCATGACCTACTAATGTTTCCCATCTTCTAAGTCAACTGTGAAATCAAAAAATCATATCTAGTCAGACTTTTGAAGACGGATCTCAAACATTTCCTTGACATTGTTTGCTATACTTCAGCTAGAAAAGAAAATATCAAAGCTATAATCTTATATTATAAATTTGGCACATGAATAAAAGATGTGCAATGGATGTAAATAAAGAAGAGTGAAGGAATGGTATTTAAAATCTGCAAACAATGTAAATGCAGAAGTGCAATATAAAGTAGTTATTTATAAAGAAGGCTTCGTTGTTTCTGCAGAGCAAGGAATCTGTGATGCACAATGCTTTTTGGGGACATTGCTATCAAAATGGTATAGAAGTAGACAGAAATGAAGCTACCATACGGTTGGTAATTAAGATCCGTTGAAAGAGGATATGCTGAGGCGTATACTCATTTGGGATGGGGGCGGTTCTACCGGTTCCATTTCGGTTCCATTTCGGTTTTACTCCGACTCTTAAGTAAATTAATTAATACTAATAGAGCATGTGATGTTGATCAATTAAAAAATTTTGACTGGTTATCAAATTCGGCCTATTACTATAATTTGATGACAATCCGATTTTGAGCCAATTCTTGGAATCGGTCCGGAGTCGGTTCCGGTTCGATTTAAAATTGGTTAAAAATGGTTTGTAACTCAGAATATGCTGATTCCAGAACCGACTCTGAGTCGCTCTTTTTGAATCGTCTCCATCCCTAATTCTCATGTGGAAGATGATATCTTAATGGGAAAGGTGTAAATTATATGCAAGTGGATTCGAACCTGCTGTATAAATTTATTTAAACTAGAAGGGTATGTTTCTTTGATCAAAGTCTTAATTATAAAAAGTATCAAATAAAAGTATTTAAAGTTATTATTTGTTTAATTATAATTAATTTTTGAACAAGTTTTAAAATTTTTTTTTTTGAATTTTAATGTATTTTATACGCGAGTTAACTGAACAAGAAAATAATATATATAAGTTGTCAATTAATAAATTCGCCAATAAACTTGGATACCAATGATGATGTTCTTTGAACAAAGTGTTCAAAGTTTGCTTTAAAAATTAAAAAAGTTTAATTATTTTAATAAATTACAATGGTAGTTTAGTAAATTGTACGACCTCCCTGATTATTCAAAAAAAATAGATTGGGCATATATAAACTGTTGTGTTATTCTAAAAGTCAACTATCAATATATAGAGATTAATAACTTGGCAGTCAAAATTAATCGAACATATAGTAACAATATTAAAAATTTTTCATTATATTTACGAACCTATATTCATAAATTTTTCTTCGAAGAATGTTTAAATATTTAGCACAGCAAAATGATTGTCAACAGTGCATTACAATATACGGTAAAAATTATTTTGTTTTTCAGAGTTAAAATCGATTATTTTTCATTACGTTCTTTCGATTATTAGTGCGGGCTCGAATTAAGTTTAACATGTGGAAACTGCAGAGCATAGTATATGTCAACGATACGATAATTTCCCTAAGACATTTACTATATAAGATGTTTTACAGAAACTAGGACAATGTCGACCAATTTACAAAATAATATCATGCGAAGACTGCCTCACTCGGAGCTTTGTATCTAAAACTAAGACAATTTATAAATTTTATCTATTAAAAATATCAAATTGTCAATCAATTAAAGACCTATTCTTCCGATATAGCATTAAAATCAGAAATTAAAATTGTTGTCTTAGCAAAATGTTCCAAATTGACTTAATATTACATCATGATGATTTAAATTCTAAATTTAATTATTATATATTACTTTTCGCTTTACTATACAACAAAAAAAAAAATCTATACTGTTGTTAGACTTGGAATTGTACTAAAACCAAGCTAACAATCTAAATATCTAATATCTCAAGCCTTTCCTAAGAGAAATAAACGATTAACTAGCAAAAATACTTAGTATTACGATTCACTTGTATAGTTAGCTATCAGATCATTGTATGAAGAAAAAAGAAGGTTGAAAGTGTAAAATAGTAACATTATTTATCTGTATTATAAGTGTCAGTTCCAATATTATGAACAAAGGATCTACAACCGAAAAAGAGAAAGTTCTAAAAATAACAAGAAAATGTTTTGAACTCCTTATCTAATGATAAGCTACTCCTTTTCTATCTTTATCGATCTTACCTGAAATTTCTTCTAAGGACATAGTTCAATATATAAATAATTACTAAAGGCTATCTATCTATAATGATTTGGTATTTTTGATCATTCACAACCGAGGCGCAGCAATTCAAAAATTATTTTTTACACAAACATTCCATAATAAATAAGCAAAAAATAATTGATTTTTATGCAAAGTATAAAATACATTGTTAGATATATAACCAATTAAAGAATTATCGGTCTTTTCAATTCTTAGAAATAAGACAGTTAAATATCTCGCTTCAATGTCAAGTATTAGAACGGATTGAATCATAAATACGCAGAAATAGAAAATTTTTATTCAAATATGTCGAATAGTCATTTAAGATGTCGATATACACTGAAGCCGTGATCCGTGACTGCGCCTCAATGAGTCATGTGAACAAAATGATTAACAAAGTTGACGAAGTGGACAAATTAGACCAAGATACTAAAGTGGTCATCGTTGATCTATTTAATATATTAAATAGATTAGTTATATTATTTATAATCGTTATATTTGTTAGTTATATTATTGTTAGTAGAGTAGTTATATTGGGTATGGTTCAAAATCCCGACAGGTACGAAATCTTGAAAAATTGGCCCGCATTAAACTTTAATACTGCCTGGAATTAAGTTTCGATATTTTTTTCGGATTCTGCGACCCCATCTTAGCCTTTTTTTTTTTTTTCATCATTTTATATATTTCGTATATAATTGTACTAATAAAATAACAAATATATTGTATATAATAAACTTTTATCAGATTATATTATCTTAAAAAAAATTAATAAAAAGTTTGTTGCTTATTACGAAATACTATTTAGTAATTAAAGAAGTTTGCGTAATAAATTTCCTTTAAACTACTCCGCTATATATACCGTCCTTCCATTCACTAATTTATATTTGTACATCTAATTAATTTAAATCTAATATATACAATAAAATATATTTTCGGGATTTTGACCTGTCGGGATTTTGGATTTCGGGATTTTGTGTTTCGGGATTTGAGTTTCGGGATTCCGGACGGCACCCGTTATATTTATCTTTTATATTATATTTGTTATTGTATATTTTATAGTATTTTATTTTATATAAATATCTTGTATTTTCTCTTGAGTTGAAAAGTAACTCGAGATAGGGATTTAGGATAAAACCAAGAGTTCAATAAAGGAATCTAATTCTTTTACTATTGCCTTTTGTCGTGTCTTCATATAGGCGTGATTGTGATATTGTCTTGTGTTTAATTCGACGGATTGAATTAAAAGTTAATCGTTTAAGTTTACAGATACCAAGCCAACAACACAAAACCATTAAATAGGTTTAAATTATTTGTATATGTAACAATCATATCGTTACATATATCTTTCGGAAAGGCGCTTCCTAAAAAATAAAAAAAATAATAATATGCGTGCGAAAAGATAGTAAGTTTCAAATTTTAGTATTTTTACACGTTAGACGCTTAATTGATGCAAAACAAAATTTTTAACGTCTTGAGTAATATAATAGATTATAAAAGATATGGTTTTCATTTTATCTTGTTCAGGTATCATAATATGACAAGCATATTAGTTTTAATTATGATATAACACAAGCAATTTGTAGAGGTACATCCTACCAACTTCTTCACAATTTAATACAGATCAAATACGCGTGTAAGTTGCATAACTTTGAGACATCGTAATAATCGTTCTAAAACTGCTAAAAAATACTTTGAACAAAATTTACAACGTGTAAAAACCACTATGAGTATAAATGGCTAGATTAATCTATGCATAATTGGATTTTCTCGCTGAGGAACTAACGAGATTAAATCCATTCCACTAGTGAACCATAAAATTGTTCTTCTTTATTACAACTTTTCAAAATAAATACGACTTTCTATATTTCATTTGGAATTAATTTCAGACATTTATTTAAAACCTTATACTTACAGTCTTTAATGGAAACTATTATATTCACAAAACTAAATATTTGTAATTAATCTCCAAATTTACTTTTGTTTACAGTTATTTTCAATAATCATGGAAAAGTCAAGATATCTGAGAACATTACACATGTTTATGGTATGTATATCTATTCTGGGAACATTAATTACAAATTATATCTTCTGTTAGAATGAATTGATAATTCAACTAGAATTACTATATCGCATCTAAAATTTGTTATGAAATTAATTATTAGTTCATGATAATGATACAACAAATTAATAGTTTTTATAAATCTTTATTTGCTATATAAACAATTATTGAAAATCGAACTCATCGGCGTAGCTTGACTTTATGAAGTGTCATCCTATTTAAAGTCTGGTAATAAACCTGATTTTTCTATTTTATCTATGTGATAAGATCAAAACAAAGAAAAAATTTTTTTCATAAGAAATGTAAATGATGTAAGTATATTACCAAGATTTCGAAAAACTTTTTAAAGTGTCGAGCAAAATTCTTATTTTCAATTCAAATTCTAATTGATACTATTGTGCACGAGGATAGTCTTGAATTTACAAAACCTTCTTTGTATGTATTTTTGTGTATCTAGTAATAAGGAATTAAATATTAAATAATATAATGCTTCTTCACTGAACTTAAAATAGTATTTACAACACCTTGGTTAGGCAACCTGAGGATTCGACAAGTGGCCAAATGAAAACAGTTTTGAAATTTTTTATAAAGGCAAACCATGACTGGTGACAAATGTTTCGACGGGCGGCAAATGCAAAAACGTTTTTGATAGTATAATGAGATTTTCAATTACCCTCAATTGAGGAAAACCTTTTTGTAAATTTAGAACTATGTCAAATAATCTGTCTAGGTTCTCTAAGTCTAATATGTTAAACCCGTGAATTTTGCAAATTGAAACAATGAATCATAAATCAGTCGAAATTCGTCGAAATTGTCAAAATTATTTTCTAAAAGTTTCGACTTTTGTGCCGAAATGGGATTAGAGAAACCTTAACCTAGACGGATTTCTTTTTAGGAAATACCCAAACTAAAATTTGGCATTTATCTATACTTATTATATAAAATTTAAGTTGAAATTTTGATAACTTTAGGGTTTTTAGAGGTAACAATTCTTGCTAATTGTAACAATTATATGTAACACTAATAAGTATATATGACCCGGCAAACGCTAGGATGGTTGAAAGAATCAACCGTAATATAATATAAGCTTTATGCTTACTATAAACACAGAAGAAGTCCGTTCCGTAATACTGGATATAATATTATAGTGAACGGTACGGTACGATTCAAATTTCATGCAACATCGTACCGAACTGGCCAAATTATTCGTACCGAACTTGTTTTCCATATACCCGCAAAATTCGGTATAAATTTTTCGAAGTAAACATATTATCGCTACGTACGGATAAGTATATACGTTAACATTTCATTTTCAAATAAAAAAGGTAAATGCATTATAATCTTTTTTTCCAAATAGTCACTATCTAAGAAGATCATTTCTGTCAGCGTAACTATCATTTGTTTAGAAGATATTAATCTCTCTGTTTTGGGTGAGTTTAACTACCATTAGGTGGCATAAGATAAAATAAGGCAGTAGTTTCTTAAATTTAACAAATATTTAAGTTTTAATTTTAATATACTTTGTTTTTAAAAAATATTTTTTTAAAGGATTCCTATAATGTTGATCATTTTGATCATTTTGCAAATAATTTTACATATCCATCAACTTAAAAAAATCGTTCGAACTAGAAGCGTGTATTTCAAATATATATGCTATCAAATATATACAATCATCTGAATTAAATTTCGCGAAAGAATTGATCGTTGTTACTTATGAAAACATTTAATTTTATAAAATATGGTAATAACTAGCATTAAATCCTGCATATGCGATGGAATAATTGACGTTCCAATTCAAATTAAAAAATCGTCGAAACATAAGATCCCTTGAAATATATAGTTATAAATTTTCATGTAATATGATACAAGGTTTCTCAAAAATTTTTAGTAAAAACGTTATTAATTATTTTTGGAATATCTTAACGTTTAGTTACATCATTAATACTTTGTGATACGATTTTTTCAAAAATCAAATTATTTTTACTTTTTTTTATTAAAAAAAATTTAATGTTTTGATAAAATTATTTTTATTGAAGTCAATATTAAAAGGTAATTTATTTGTTTCACTATATTTATATAAATTTTATTAATATATGGGACCTTTGCAATAGAAAGGGGAAACTGCCGGAAAATCAATTTCAATTTTATGATTTTTAGGTCAAAATATGTTTAGATTTAGCATTAACTCATTTTTATTTTTCCAGCAGTTTCCTCTTTTCTATTGCAAGGCCTCATATAGTCTAAAAAATTGTGATATATAGCATATAGATCAAAAGATTGGAAGCGGTTATACATTCAGACGAAGTTTCAATGAATTGAAACGTCAATTTTTCTATCTACCCGTAGTTTGTTACCATAGTTTTGATTATGACTACTTGCCATATCTGCACTAATATAAGGAAATTGATTTATATGTTCTATAAGCTCCAAAATGTTCAGCCATATCATTCCAAAAAGATTCACTTCTTTGTGATGTATTATCTAATGTAAATCATTTACAGCTTTTGTAAAATAAAAAGTTTATATGTAGTAACGATCGCCTTCAGATGATTGTACGATTTTTTTAATATGTAAAATTTTTGTGTGCGTGTTTCATCTGCAAAGTCATCGACATTTTTGGAATCTCATTCTGAAAAAAGCATTAAATGACCGGAGGCTTAAGAAAATTGATTAACGTTACACGATTTACAAACTGCATTCAAAATCAAAATACAAAGTTCCAATAATTCAAATGAGTGGATTAATTGGATTGAAGAATCTATCTCCAGGAAACTGCTTAAATACTACGAATTCGAACATTTTAGCAATTTTCAGGAGATTGGTACCGGCAGCTTTGGAAAAGTATGTCGTGCAAATTGGAAAAATTCAAAACAACCTCTTGCGTTAAAAATGTTTCATAGGTTTGACGATGCCGCTGTTAAAGAGCTTGTTCATGAGGTAAATA